GAGGCGCATGTTTCCCAGACAGTTTGATCCGAAGCAAATTCAAATTGACTCGCTACATCTGAATGATGAGCACAGTAACCGCATTTAGTGACACACATCGTCCTTCAAGCAAATCTGCCTATCTCTATTTTGTACTTTCTTTCATCTAACCCTCGCGTGTGGTGACACGCTTTAGAAAATTCGAGGACCCAAGAACGATGTCTTGTGATGCGCGAGCTAACCTCCTCTCGATAGATGATTTATAATGAATTTTAACAGGGCTTGGAATTCTCAGCTTTTCGAATGGTTAAATTTTTCGTCTGATCAAATAAGTTTTACTCTGCAACCCATTTACCTACACTATTTCCTTCCTCAGGCCGAGAGCTCTACTCTGACATTGGCTCATTGTATTGGACCGACGTGATACGCTTTGCCGATTTTTTTCGCACTACTACTACACATAATTTAAGTAGTCAAGATGTAAATCGCAGTTGCCGTGTGTAGTTGCTGCTGTGTTAACTACCAAATCATCGAGATCACTCGAGTGATTAGTTTCTGTTGAATTCGGTAACGCAACCCGTATTGTCACATCTAATTATGTTATGCTCCTCGAATTATGACTACTTTTANNNCATTTCAACCAGATTGAAGCCCTACGGGGAGCTGTGCGCTATCTGACCGCAGACAATTCTAGACTCCGAGGAGAAAAGATGTTTGTAAGTGCACTCTGTCGTTTGTTCAAATTCGATCACCTTTTTCATGCATATCCTGACTTCTCGACAACTGCCGACGCAATCACAACATTCGTGATAGACCATTGTTCCTAAGTGTCGGTGTTTTCGATCCGAGTTGCATAAACATAGACTGTGATATCTTTGTCTAGGTTTCTCTCAATGAAATGCCTTCTTAAAGCTGACTTTTTGAATTACCACATTTATGCACGTGACAATATCCATTTTTTATACGCATGCTTTCGTGAGCAGACCGACACACATAAGTAAACCGGTAAATAATTCCTGCATGCCTTATTAGAGTCAATCATTCACAATGATTGTTTATTTTCATGCGGGGGATTGGTGCTCTAATAAACTTTCTCATTTCAGATGCAACTGAAGAATTTGAAACCGTTGAAGCACTCTGCGCGTCGCACCGCCATGCAACTTGCAGCCGAACTGGATGCGGATAGCAGCTCACCGGAAACGCCTCGGAAATCACCTGCGAAGACTTACACTGTGCCACAGGTCAGCAGGCAGCTGGTGGATCTGCAGAAGCAATTATACGGTTTGTTGTCACATCCAAAGGTGGTCAGGCTGCCTGATCCGGGAACAACCGCCGCGCAAGAAACTCCCTCAGCCGAGGGTGACAGTTCTGAAAAACCTTCAGCAGCCACTGCCAACATTCCTAGTGCAACCAGTCAACTAGCGCGCCAAGCCTCGTACATCATCAAACTGAAGTCGGAACTAGAACAGGTAAATGATTGCGTAGTGATGACCTTTCAAACCGTTGAATGTGGAGCCTCAAATCCTATTGATCGTTGGGTACCCCATCTTCTTGAAGTTTTTGTAAATCTTATAATGATGCCATGATCAATGGGTTGGTATCCAAAACACTGCCCTCGCTTCCTTAGGAGTGTGTATGGCCTTTTACGAGAAAAGTTTGCACTCTAATCGAGATCCAGAACAATTTTGGGAGATCTTAAGGTGAAATCGAGTCAACCCCAACACTGAGTCTTGTTGAGTGTATTTGTAAATCTGATTTGTTTAGCCAACTGTCGAAGTGAGTTGATTGCACAACGGAATTGATGAGACTTCTGAGTTCACCAGCGATACGGTGTGACCTGTGATTGCCATGTTTGCATAAAAATGCCCAGGTAACCAAACTCCAGAGATCTACTAACCAACCGCTTAGTTTCTGTCTTATCGTAGGGCGGGTCGAAAGCTGTGTGGAACAGGCCTGCATGCATCCCTACTACAAATTTTTCCTAGACCCGTAATTCTCTTTTGATTTGCATCTGCGACTAGTGCCATTACAAATAGGATCCCTAATGCAACAGAACAAATCACGAAATTATCTCTCTCGCCAGTTAGAATTTTTCGACGGCACGCAACCATACTACCTGATTGTCGTGTACGGTATTCTGTTGACCTTCATTTGCTCTCGTTACCTACCCATCCGAGTCAGTGAACCTCCAAGGACGCAGAGCAATAAACAAACGTGCGGCACCCACGTCGTTTAAATGAATATGTAGAATGGAAAAATGACTTTCATATTACCAGTTTCTCGCAAGATGGAGAATCGGCCATTTAAATATAAACATTAATGAACGCCACATAAATCCTCCACTTCCATTGTGTTATCTTTCACTGTTCGCCGAAGGCTGACGTGCGATGAGATGTAACGATTTCAAATCAATCAACCACCGTTGTACTTTGGAACACAGGGGCACAGTTCCATACAATCCGACAGACCTGTTTCTGGTATTTTTGGTGGAGTGGTTTTTATCCGGCCAACAACGCATCAGTTCAGTCACAAAGAAACGTTTGAACGCCACAGAATTTTACCGCCGGAACTTGTGTGGAACATTTCATATCGTATTTTCGCTGCTAATTCCTGGGGATCATTGTTACCTATTTTTTACTGACTCCGCAGAACCGAAGTTCAGATATGACACGTCAGTTCCAGTGAATAAACAACCGCATGCACGAACCCGTCTATAGACACGTCGTTGATNTCATTCAACGTACTGCTACCTTGGGATAGGAGCAACGTTATTGACAGTGTCGAAGTCGGAAGAAACAAAAACTCAATAATCTAGCCTTTGGGGCAGCGTTCATAGTGATCATAAAATTAGTTCTGAAGAAGAAAGTTAAACGCGGTGCGAATAAATTAGAAGCAAACAGGTTGCCTTACAAATTTAATTTCGATCGCTGTCATCATATTTGTAACTAATGGTCTCAAATTTTATCTGGCTTTTATTTCTAGATTCAAAGAAATGCCTTGGATGCCATCAAGCGTGATTACCCGAATGCGTTCTTCCGTGCGGACTTTGCTAGCTTTCCGTTATCAAGCGTCCAAAGGTTCATGACGAGCTCGTCTGCGTTGAAAGGAGATCAGCTGGTTGCTCGACTTCTGCTCCCCGAAGGTCAGAAAAAAGAGTCTGCACCTACTCCGGTGGCACTCACTCCAGTCCAGCTTCAACAGGTTCATCGGCATATCTTGGTTTCCTCTTGACACGTGAATTTATTCCAGACCACTTGCGTGCCCAACCTACCTTCCTCCCCACTCTTCACGGATTGTTGGTCTCACTTACGATCTATACGCTTTTCTTGGGGTCTAACCGCAATTGCATCAAATTCTTCGGTTCTGGTTCCTCCGCCCTTTCTCGTATCTTATGTGCTTTACCCTACTTCATAACCTTGTGATGTGTTCTTTGCCATTGCACCTGATCTTCGTAAAATCGATAATGTATTCGATAAACGGGGAGTATAGTAACACCACAATTGTCTTCTCATTGCAACGTCAGTTCTATAGTACTGCGTTCTGACAAGGTGTTACTCGTTATTCGCGCTGCGGAAAGGAATTTCAGTACAAACGTTCATCTAGTAAGGATACAATACCGCTAGTCGAAGTGGTTGTCTGAGCAAGAGGGTACAAAAATACCGTGATCAGTCCACTGGTTATTTATTTTCACATGAGGATTATCATAATGTTCTTCATGCGACAAGTTTAGTACACCATGCCCTCAGAGCATCAAACGAATTGCACATTTATTTTGTCTTAACCTAATTCGGATGAAACGAAACCCGATTTGCTCTGGGGCTTTTCAGAATACTATCATTTGAGAAGGCAGAGCAAATAATGAACCGGAGATATCGTGCAAAGGACCGGGAAGAACGAAAAAGATTGTTCAGATATGAATCGCAAGTGTTGAAATTAGCCGCAACAAACAACAACTGCATCACAAAATGCATGTCACAAGAACGTAACATTGTTGGTTTCGAACGTTGAGATTGATCACTTCCATCGAAAAAATGACTTTGGAACATGAAATCGGCTTCACTTGTTTAGTGTGCAAATACGAGCTCAGTCTGAATGTTAGTACAGGCGAAAAACCCAAGAGTAACAAGTTCAGTAAGAGATCAAAACGAGTTTATGCGGGGTTGTGTTGAGAAGATCATCGTCAGTATGGGTACATTGTGCACTGAATCTAGATTGTGGCGGACAAGAGCCAGCATGAACAAACTATTGCAATGATATGGACGCTTTACGATNCTCCTCGGCGGCGGTCACGGGCTCCAATGCCTCGGTTATTCCGCGACCGACAATAATAATCACATTCGTGGGACCAGACAGCTGAGTCGGGAATCGTTTGAGCACCTTGGTGGGGCATGCGTAATTTTGTCCCAACTGATCTGCTGTCTTATCGATACGTACACCTGAAACGAAATACAAGTATCAATCAGTAAAGGAAGAAAAGACCAACATTGATCCTATGTGATTTTTGGTATCGAGTCACCCTTAAAGCAAATTTTTAGTTGATACTTGATAGGGAAGGGCACATTTTTCATAAAAACGTGACTTTCATTTTCCCTATTTTCCTTATCATCTTTATGAATGTAAATTTACGAAGATTAACGTCAGAAAAAAACGGGCTTACATCGCCGACCAAGATTGGTCCGTTTCCTTCAAATTCTGTAATATCGAGCTAAATTTCAAGGTCATTGCTGGCCGGTCCCGGAATTGTATACAAATAAATGAGCTGCTCGTAATCGATGCCTTTGTGCTGAGCCTAATCTGAAGGCCGATATCGTCTTCTCCGTGGTTGGGTTCTGAGATCCCACTACTCTTGCGGGTGCGTATTCGGATGAAATGGACAAAGCCTTCAATAAATTAAAATTCAGACACAAATCCCCCTCTCAAACTTAGGCTAATCAGACGTTCCGGTTGTGAATCCCGAAAGAAAAATCATCAGCTTTCATTTAGGCAACTGTAAGATATGACAGAACGATAAAAGCATGAATGCAAACCGTCATGAACCGGTGGAAGGCTTAGGACTGTGGTGGCGAAATAGTATGCTATATCCTCAGTTCGGAACTGTAGTTGCAGTTTCATAACGCAAGTAGTTCAGTCAGAACGTGAATTATAATTAGAAAGGTAAATCCTAAGTGTGACGTAAGGGAAGTTCGCCTGAGTGCTCACCAACTGGGTAGTAATCTCGGCTCATAAATACGCACTGAGGACTTGAACGCATTCGGAATTTGTACGCCAACGGCAGCCACATGGAAACCCGAATTAATATGCGGTGTTGCCTGATGGCACGCATCATTCAGATCTATAGACTAACTAGCTACATGCAACGCTAGCGTTAGATCGCAAAGTGGCACACAAGGTTGTCCTTGATAGTACGTTGACCAGACAAATACAGCGCAATCATATGAGGATCTATTTCCTCACCCATTTTTATTCTGACCTTATTGTGCAGTATGTTTCGAGTTAATGGCGCAACGAACTGTTTGTCTGACATATGGCCTTCTAACTGGGATGATGATGCAAAAATCACGGTGAAGAGTTGAACACACGAAGCTGTAGGCCAGTGAGTAGTAAAGAGGTGAGAATTAGTCTAAGATTACCCATAATTTGGAATCACTTCTTTGGGACTCATGCTACGTACTTCGCGGTAACGAAATGAAAGTTTTTTCTTTGACCCAAATTAGACCGGCAGTGATCGAGTCAGTTCGTTCCTAATCAAACACATGGTGCTGCAGCGCAGTGTATATGTAGCGTGCCCCTTGAACGGCTGCGCTACAATACAATACATCGCGGCCATCTTTCTCTCCAAGCTTCTCTGAGACCGCATACTGCATTTAGTTTCACCCGGAGAAGTTATCGAAAAATGAAATGGAATGGCCTTATTAAACGGGTTATTCTAATTCCTAATTCAATGATTTAGATGTGACTTCAGATCTTCCGAATTGGAAGACCGTATTTCTGAGTTAAACACTTATCTCATTTCGAAATACAACAAAAGGGCACTCGCGGTTTCACGAAACTTCGATAACAATCGAAGAATTTTAGCAAGATGCAGCTTCGATTGATATCTCCAGACCCGGTTCAGTCAGAATATACCTGTACAGGATGACCGATATCTTTTATAACACCCTACAAATTCCAATCTTTATTCGACTCTTATCCAAATGAGCAGGCAAAAAACAGTAACCAAAACCTGCGCGGGAAAGTGTATGGTGAATGGTCGTAAAAACAAGTCATGTTAGTAAATGTGAACTGTCGCTCCAACAGAGAACTTTCGCAAAACCCGGACAGTATCTTTTAATACACGTCTTCGGATGTATATACCATATCCAATCCTCCTCCCACTCACATTAAACACCTTTGTGTTATTGCCTCTGTTTTCCGCATGGAAAAGCAAAAAAGTCAGAGTTATCGTTAGTTACCTGGCACCCAATAGTAGAAGGATGAGGCTGTAATATCCGGGGACACGATTGGGTTTTGACTCACGAATCCTGCCACGACATCAGTGTGCGCTTTGCATATCTCCATGCACTTGCTACTGTACGCGACATCTGCCAGAGTATCCTGTTGTTGTTTTTTTATTGTAGAGAGAATAAGCATAATTGTGAACGAATAACCTTAAACCCAATGGCAAATTTACGAACGGTGCAAAAACAAACAATGTGGTGATTGCGGCAAACAGATCCTAATGAGACACCTCGAGCAGATAAATATAACGAAACTTTCTGTGATCATTAAAGAGAGAAACATAGCAAAAGCTACATGCGAAAAACTGTGACTTACGGGGTGAAATTAAACCAGAGGCCTTATTCACGACATCGCTGATGACACTACCCTGCATCCTTCTCTACGTTGTTTATCTTCTTACTACGCCAAAACAGCAGTATTGACCTAGTTTTCCTCGGTTTAGTTTTTACTTAGTACCTGCACGAGATTCTCTTTAAGACCTTCTACTCAACATCACACGTTTCGGGATTACTTGATGAAGTGTTTTATTTCGTGAGCTTGCTAACTCGAAAGATATGCCACTTTCATGGGAGAGGATTGTGCTTCATTACACAGGAGAAGTGATCAATTGCGCTCCAACTCCGAACTCAACCAACAATGAAAAGAAAAATTGGATGACAAATTAGGCGTACGCGAGGGATGTACGACAGAGAACTTTTCGGTATGCACTAACTAAGACCACTTGGAATAAGAAATTCGTGAAGCGACGAAACCTACCTTGGAGCTCATCTGGGCGACTACCAGAGCGGCAACGTGATGTGCCGAGTCGCCTTTCTCAGCCAGTCGAGCATTTACTTTGCGAAAAGCATCAAAAAGACCAGGTCCGGGTAAACAATGAACTGTTACTAAATCACACCACTCGGCGATTCGGAAAATTCCATGCTGCAATTGGCTGAACACTGTTTGACCGATGTCTGACAACTTTCTGTTGGGAAGAGATGGAAGAAAAATGAGATAATTCCGTAACTTAAACAAAATTATCTCAAATACACAACATTGATGTGATTAACAGTAGCAGGGTAAGCTTTTATATTACTGTGAAGTGACTCTTCATTGATGAGAAAAAGCAACTTAGGTCCCGAGCAATGCTTAATTTGTTTAGCGTAGCAACACGATGAATGCACTCAGAAAGCAAAGGGGAAATATGGTGGAAAAATTCAAGTACCAGATGTAGTAAAAAGTTAATTATCATGAGGAATGAGTTGATAATGGGAAGGAAATCATGAAGAGGATATACGTGTTAGACATTAGGCGAAACACAGAGGCGAACTTCACGGACTATCAGTGTAAAATGTCTGTTTGGGTGAGGGAAACAGAAAATCGGTTCATTTGATCAGTACAAAAGGTACACAGTTCAACCACAAATACAAATCACAAAATAGACGAGTAAGGACATTCAACCATGAAGCAACAAACCGATCCGGATTTTATACTGAAGCGTTTAATTGCAACAAGCAGACAGAAAACAGTGGATCAGTGTTTTGGAAAATCAATATTTAATTATTCCTCAATCAGTTTGATTGCCTGAGCCGCCCACTCTACACGAATTCTTAATCTGGAGAATCGAGATAGTGGTCCACGTTTTCAAACTTGTACCTTCATCTTCCAGGTTTGAAAAGAGCTATTCTAGGTAAAAATATCGGATCAGGGGGTTCGGAGTACAGAGAAATCGAAGGCGGTGAGAGGGTTTGAACACACGTCATCGGAGGCGATGATTTGGAGACCTTGACCGACTGACAACCATCGCAATCCAACTTCACTGAGCGCTACCAAACTCGCTATGCGTACTAAGTGAGAATATGTAAGATGGAATTCGAACCCACGCATGGACGTTGAGCTCAGCTGGTAAAAAAATGTATGCCGAGTCTATGCATGGGTTCAACATAAAAACGAAATCTGCCAAACAACACTTTGAACAATATGTAAGGTCGCCAGGTGGGCTAGTTTGAGGTCAGCACACAAAGTATACAGTGACTGTGCACACATACCTTTCCAAACATTCAGAAACGACAAATAGAAGGATCAGTCGCACAGATCAGATTAAGTTCACACCGGGAGATCTTATCTCGAGCAATCGACGGAATGGTTAGCTTTACAAGGTGCTTTGCCGATGCTTCGGATCCGTAATGAATTGTGGGTCGATATCTAGTCGGTCCTATCTAAGGCCCAGCGGACGACTTTCAATAAACCCAACGCACCTTATTAAGCAGTTTGCTCAATATTTAAGAAACCCTGGAGAAAGTCGATATATCTTAGACGAGCGAGGTACAAGTGGCTTTTGAACCGGAATATAATCGGCGGTGAATGAGCTCGTGACCATTAGTACCAGTTGGAGTACTTTATGAAAAGCAATGGGTGGAACATCCTAAACAAACATGGACAACGGAAATAATTAAGGGGTGTTCCCGGAAGAGCCTGGGAGAATGAGATTCATCTTCTGAAACATTTTTCTGCGAGCATGGTGAGGAATATCAGAGTCGGGAGTTCGCAATTATAATAGGTTTATATTTATGTGAAACGACCGTTCGTTATTGAGAGTCAGCTTTTGCATTTAAAGTGACGAGGACAACATTGGCAGCACTACTTAGGAACCAACAGACCCGGATTACTTTTACGGCAACTGGCTCTAATCTAAGGGAAAATCGGCCTAAAAGCAACGGTAATCTTCATCATTTGGATCGCGATCGGAAAGCCGGGTAGTATAAACCACAGTTAAAACTGAAACTAACTTTCGCAACACCCGAAGCTAAGTCATGGACTGACAGTAACATCGATTCATTTTAGACCTTCCAGCAGGTGCGGAGAGATCACTGAAAGATGAGCGACAGGCAGGTGTACGCAAAATAGGACCGAAGCTGCACAACTCGATTGGATCTCCGTCAATAGTCGTTTATGTGCGATGC